ACTAGTCAACGCACTACAGCAACGTCTATACCTTTATACGGTCCACCATCTCACGGCGCTTGTCTGAGGCCAGGTTACGCTCACAGAGGCTTTTAAGACGTTTGCCTTTGACCCTTTAACATCGGCGGAGTCGTCTGGAGTGGGGTCGCAGCCGATCATCATGACTGCCATCAGACTGATATCGTATAGAGCTCAACGTTGAATCCAGCTTCATTCTTGAAGCAGATGACTACTGTGTTCGTGTCTGGAGAGGACGGAACCAGCGGAATATGAATTTCTTACTACAATGAAATTTACCTTTCTGTCATGCATTAGTTTTATTAATAAATTTGTATACTCCTTGTAAAGTCATACAGGATTAATGCCATATTTTTCACTGGCGAGAGGATAGCGGAGGATCTGATCTTCAGGGATTATATACAAGTTGCTGGTGCATGTACAGGGAATTACTTCTTACTAAATCGGCGATGCTGTACAAGTTTACTGCTGGCTTTTTTTCATTATCTCTGATGCTTCTATGACATACTCTGTAGAGACATTAGCTATTTCGAAGCAGGAGACATGAAAAATTAGCAATGCCCTCGCCGGGACTCGAACTTCGGACCTCTTGAATACGAAGACATGCTAAGAAGGCAGGAGAATTACCTTACAACTCTTTCCCAAATTTGTTTCTAGAGGCACTGCAGTCAATCTCATATGATAGATCTCAGTCATTTTATTGTAGATAGACATAATTTTCCCAACTATAGCTTCTGCATTCACTGCATGTTCATATTGCACACTTTTGTATGTGCCTACATATAGTATACAGTATCCGTTATTTGCTCTTTCGTGCACTTTGATTGAGCAATACTTGGAACTGCGCGCAGTAACAAAGAAGAGTAAGTGCATCATTTATTATTTTTTTTTAATAGAAATGCAATTATTTAAGGAAGCGATCCAACCTTTCCTAGAAAGCAAGCTCTCTAAGATGACATTCTCCCTCCACTCCTTTAACAGATTACCTTCGCTTTTTTCATAATTAACTTACAGTCTGATTATGTGGAATGCGAAAGATAGTTCTGTGTATTCATCTTTTGTATGTTTTCATTTCAACTCTACGTATTTATTTTTTATAAGTCTTTTCGTTCATTTCAGATTTATGCATTTGATAAGAGTACATTTCGCCTTTACTAACGTCGTTTACTGCGATTTAATGAATGAAGAACCTCCTTTGAATCTCACGATAAAAGGTGCATGTGAAGAAAGTATTTTTGTGATAGTTTAAAAAAGAATATTTTGAATGAAATTTTATTTTCAAGGCTTCTTTTGATTCCTGTTTTGATTTCGAACCTCACGTTGCTTATTATTAATAACGCAACTGCTAACCATTTTTTAGTTATTTGGTAACTAGTGTTAAATTACCTAAGAAAAGAAACATTGTATTAAGTTTTGTAACTCCATTCTTTAATTTTCATTTACTTTACAATTTTGTTTACATTAATATCTTCTACTGTTAGCCATATACTCGTATCTTACACTCCACCGTTTCTGCTTCTTGCAAAACTAACGATCTCCCGTGCTATTGTTACTCTTAAATTAACATCTATATTGTTATTTCCGCTTTATTTAGGTCAGTGCTTGTTAGTTTAACATATAATAAAGAAGATTTTATCTAAATTTTCAGTTTAAAAGAATACCTAATAACTTTCTTAATTTAAAAAATAATACAAGAATGTAATCAGAAAAGCGTGGTGACTGTAAGAATTTTTGATGCTGTATATATATATATTTTTCTTCAATTATATATACATATATAAGTTTAGAAATTTTAAATTAAGGTAATAAATTATTAATCTTGCGCAGTATGCTGCGAAAGACATAATAATTAAATCAAAAATAGATCATGAAAAAAATGGATTAACAGTCTAACAGGAATAAAAATCATATAAAATTGGTGAAAATTTCTCGGTCTTTTTCTAGGAGCAGCCGAAGACTTTTCACCATAGCTACGCTTCTGAATTACACTAATGTCCATAAATTAAGGATAATGCAAAATCAGGCAAAGGAAGAGTTAGAAGCAAAACAAATTTGACTTGTAAATTGATCACATTTGTAAAGCTTATTTATTAAACAAAAGGTAAAGAGCAAAAAAAGATGCTATATATTTGATATTATTAAAAAAATTAGCGACTTTTTCTCCCTGGAGCAAATTACAAAAAAAAAAAAAAAAAAAAAAACTATTTACAAAAAACCAATATTACATGGTTGGTACGATTGTTAATACATTGTGTGTCTCCCAGACGATGCAATACAGTCCGTACAACGCCTAGGCATGCTGAGTATCAAATTATCGATCTGATCTTGGGGGATATTACACCACTCAAAAAGCAATGCTCTCCGAAGTTCCGGTAGACATGTAGGAGGAGGTTGGCGGGCTGCAACTCGTCGGCCAAGCATGTCCCACACGTCCTCTACTGGATTCAAGTCCGGTGAGAATGCTGACCAGTCCATACGGGTGATATCCTCCGATTGAAGGCATTCGCTTACGATGTTTGCACGGTGAGGACGGGCGTTGTCATCCATAAAGACAAATTGTGCACCCATGGCGCCCCGAAACAAACGTACATGTTGTTCCAGAATGACGTCCCGATAGATTTGGCTTGTCATGGTTCCAATTTGAACATGCAGGTCAGTTCTAGAACCCAAAATAATCCCACCCCAAACGAGCACTCCTGCACCACCGTAACGGTGTCGTTCAATGATGTTTTCTTGGTGGTAACGGGTACCTGGAGCTCTCCATATGAAAGTCCGACGAGAATCAGACTGCAAGCTAAACCTGGACTCGTCGGAAAACATCACACAAGCCCACTGTTGCGGTGTCCACAATGCATGCTCTCTACTCCAGGCTAACCGCAGGCGACAGTGAGTTGCAGTAAGTGGAACGCATCTGACAGGTCTACGAGCATATAGATCAATCTGCCCTAAGCGTCTGTACACGGTCTGCCTTCAAATTGTCGTATTAGTGGCTGAAGAGAGCTGACGAGACAGGTCTGAGGCTGTGCTCCGCCTGTTTCTTTTGGCAGTAACTGTCAAATACCGGTCCTCATTCGGCGTTGTAACTCTGGGACGACCTGTGCTGTAACGTCTACTCACATTACCATCATCTTGGAATCGTGCCAAAGCCTGGAGATGACACTCTAGGCAATTCGAAGTTCGTCTGATACTTCCAGTTGGGTACGCCCACATTCCAGACGGCCGATAATTCTACCACGTAAAAAATCATCCAAATGCGTCCTTTGTGTCATAATTATTCGGTTATTACACTGAAATGCTTATAAAGCGCTTGCGAACAATTTTACTTCTTTGTCTGTATTCCTTTAAAATTGCAACAAAGTAACATTTTTTTTAACTGTCTTCATTTAATTAATCATCAAGACATAATCTACTCCGATTCCTTATATATCACTCTCTTACACTCTCGTCATTGTGACGTACCATCGGTGTCATCTGGTTACTTCCTGAAATTTGCATATGATTCTTGAAGATGTGTGTAGTGATTTTACAGGTGATATATTTATTTTAGAGTTCGATTTCCGTGTGACTCCGAATTATCCTTATTTTATGGACATGTGTGTATATCTAGATAAGGAATTCTTGAACTAAGCCAAAATAAATAATTAAACTAAAGTGCCAATTAAGATAAATTTATTCAACATTATCAATTAAAGTTCTTTAAAATTGCAACAAAGTAACATTTTTTCTAACTGTCTTCATTTAATTAATCATCAAGACATAATCTACTCCGATGCGGCCCTAAAACAGAAATTGAAGCAAAAAGAAAAATAAACATTTTAAATATTATAAAGAGGTTTGCAGCTTTTTTTTTATTCTCGATATAGATAAGTAAGTAAGTAAGTTTGGGCTTCCCTGCTCCGGGAACTAAATCCCACTACAGGTCTACTTCTCCTTTGGGCACGTCGTGTAGGTTCAACCTCCACTATTACCCTCCAAGGAAGCAGCGCACCACCTGGATATGACACCAGGCAGCACCGGTCGTCTAATGCTCCTACCAGTCGCTTGGGCGAGCCCGTCGCAGCGGGGCATTACCCAGCGAACCCGGGGGAGACCTCCGGGCTACTAGTACCACGCCGCGCTAGGACGTGCCAGACTCCGGGGCCGGCCAATAAGTGACCTTTCCCAGAGCCTTCAGAACCACCAAGTTCATAAATTTTATACCCCCGTGGCCGAGACTGCCTAGGTACAGATCCTAGCCAGTAGCTTCGCAGAGTTCTCTACGTCGACCCCCGGGGGGATTATTTACGATATAGAAAGTCTTTTTAGCAACACTCTTCGGTTCGAAATTTATTTAGCACGTTACTTTTTATTACCCAATAATTTTTCTGTTTTCCTACTGCAGAAATTTTCTTATAATGTTTGCCTTCTTATAATATCTTGTTTTTGTTTCAATTTTTATGCGTGTGTTTCCTGTCAGACTGCTAAACCCTTTCATGGCTTATTTTTTTTATTTAATTATTATCTCTCGATTATTGTTATAGATATATCATGTGATTTTTTAGTACTATACTCAAGAAACTATTTATTAAATTTTGAACAGCATATAAGACTACGTACCTTGCACTGTGAGAAGCATGCCGATACTGCAAGAGTTGCTGAAATTACCGCCACAGTAAAGAAACAACCGAACCCGACACTTCATGCGGTCTCTTTTCACGCCACTCGGTGTGGACACATGCGCGTGAGATAGCGACAGTGGCGAGTCGTCCTGATGACAGCCGTACTTTCTCTCTCCTCTCCCATTGTCTCGCGCTCATTGACACAAATTTCATACATGTACGTTTCATAACTTGATGAATATGAGCATTTTCTTGAGTCTAGTACCAAAAGAATCACCCTAAATCCGACAGGACCTAAAAACGATGTTACGAATCTTAATTTACGTGCATATAATGTTTAATACTTTTACCTGTGATTTATCAGTCATGTTCTTTATTTTGTAGAAACTAGACCTTAACAAAGATGGGGTTGTTACTATTGAAGAGTTTCTAGATTCCTGTCAAAGAGTAAGTATTTATAATTACGAGTTTTGAGCTAAATGTAGCTAGTAAGGAATAAATGTTATTTTAATAGTTTGACTGAAAACTTCGCAAATTTTTTAAGTAAAATATATAATCCACTGCTTACATTCAACATCTTTAAGAGCACCTTGTAGCTCAACCACATACCTATCACTTGGTTTGCAACAAGAACTTACAAGAATTTTTGTAAACAATACTACATATAAACTTTCTTCGTACTTTAGTAACAAAACCTTTCGACATCTTTTAATGCAAACCTAAACATTATTTTGCTTCCAGCGTAAAACAAACTAATGACGGAAGCATAAAAAAATTATTTGCAAGATTTTCTACGCAATAGAATGCATTTATAAGACTGAAGTATTACATATACTACATTTACATTGCACAGAAATTGATGCATATAATATTTAAATAAGCTAAAAATAATACTTTGTAGAGCTATTAGGTATTCTGGAGGCAGGAAAGATGAAAAATATGCAACGCCTTCACCAAGAATCGAACCACGGACCTCTCAATTACACGCTGAGCGTGCAGACCACCACACCTCGAAAGCATGCCAAGAAGGCGAGAGAAATACCTTATATACTACCCCTTTTAAAGAGCGATTGGGGTTTTTAGGGGACCCAATCACCAAATCGTGGGTGAGGAGAATCACGATTTAACACCCTTTTAGTTCAGGCGCCACGGTAGAGCTATTAGGAATTTTTTGGGAGGCCTGAGAGACGAAATATTAGCAACGCCTTCGCCGGGAATCCAACCGTGGACTTCTCAGTTACGCGCTGAGCGTGCAGACCACCACACCACGAAGGCATGCCAAGAAGGTGGGAGAAATACCTTATAGCTTTAAAGATATAAATAAATGGTGTTACGAATTTTGTATACGTGTAAACATATTCAGTAAGTTGTAATATTTCTTTTATAATGTAACATAGAAGGATTCATAATACGAGGCATCTCCGAAAATAAGGTTACAGGGTTATAAATAAGGTTCATTTAAAATTGAAGTAAAAACCTAGCTGGCGACGGTTTTGGCGACTAATTTCTGTCGTAAATTTGACGAAACTTGGAGACTATTTGGCAACATTTTGGTCCGAACCTTACGTAACCCTAACTGTATCCGTCTCTGCGTACCTGTTACTGTATATGCCTTCCCTCAGTTTCGATAAATCGAAGGTACTGGAAATTTCTCGACGAACGGAGGAAAACCACATAAGACCGGAGATGGCATCAGTTTTCAGTTTAGCTCAGAGTACCGAGAGATCATCATGGGAGTTGACGCATTTGAAGCTCCTTGCATTGCATACTAACAAGAGCTGTACAATTAATTTTGAGTGAAAAAATCCAGAAAGTGCTTTGGGAAAACGAGTTTGATCAAGCTTTCATAAATACTTTACTACTGGCGATCTTGTATAAGGTGCCATAAATTTCTTTATTGTTTGAATAATAAAAGTTGGCACAAATATTGTTCAAACAATAAAGAAATTTATGGCACCTTATACAAGATCGCCAGTAGTAAAATATTTAAACCGTCACAAATCCAACTTCCCTCAAATTTGCTTTCAAGTTCTGCTGAAATTTCAGGATGCCACTCTCTCAACCCTAAATGAGATTCTTGACTCTGTCTTTCTAAAAGATGATCCAGCTGAAGATTCGCCTACTCAAACCAAAATCCGTAACTGCGATGACATTCCACACAGACAGACAACGATATTCCGTTCTCAAAACAAGAAATAAAAGCAAATAATTAAAAAAACCTAGCTTTAAAAAAGGCACCAGGCCCAGATGGCATCGATAACCACATTATAAAATTAATCAATCAAGCCCATCCTGACATAATCTGTAGTTTTTGCAATCGATGTATAGAACTCTCTACCTTTCCTGATTGCCTGAAAATTGGTAATATAATACTCTTCAATAAGAAGAATAAAAGCTCCGATGAACCTAAATCTTATCGTCCGATAAATCTTCTCCCAGCCCTGGGAAACGTTTTGGAAAGATGTCTTATTGGTGGTCTAAAATTTCATGTTTACAGCAAAAACTTAATAAGCAATAACCAGTTTGGATTTCGAAGCCTACTTTCAACAAGCCATGCAATTAATTCAGCTCTTGAACAAGTCAGAAACAATAAAATCAACCAACTTCATTCTGCAATAATATGTCTCGACTTAAAATCAGCTTTTGATTCTTTATGGTGGCCAGCAGTTTTACAAGCGCTGCGTTCCTTTAAGTGCCCTAAAAATTTATTTCTAATTATTCAAGATTACTTCAGAAACATCGGTTCTGATTTAATTAAATCCGTTACGACCAGAACAATTTTTGTCTCAGAAGCGGGAATAAATGCTGGTGACAAAAGTGATGAGGAAGCAACTGAGGTAGCTGGAGACAACTTTTGCTGCATTCCAAGAAAAAAATGGCAGTAAAATTCGTTTAAAAGCGATGGAAGCGGTGCAAGAAGAAATGGAAAGGGCCAATCAAGACGGTCAGTTTCAATAAAGAAAAAAGTGAAAAGATCAAGAGGAAATAAAAACAAAGTTACTGCTAATAATAGAAAATAAATTTGAGGCTATGGGAGGCAGAATAGTCGTGGTTGAAAGCAAAACCGAAGAAAGAGTTTCTGTTGCCGAAAGAGTTTCTGCTGTCGGACGACAAATCGATGACGATTTCGCCAAGAAAGCTGACAACTTGAAGATGTCCATAGTGAAACCTAGGAACAATTGTGATGGCTTTAAATTCCTACGTATGTCTTCATGACCCTCTCTGAAGTTATCCACATATGGTAGAAAGGCCTCCTGGGAAGTGTACAAGACTCAATTTTGTATAATGACGGACTGAAATGGGTGGGATTCTGAGGCTAAGAGTTGTCTTCCCGCTGCTTCTGTGAGAGCAGACACAGCAAATATCGTTCAGCAAAGGACATACTGTCCCTGCAGTACGTCATCGGCGACATCTGGGATACTGAGATGCAAAAAGCCCTGAGAAGGGCGGATGTCATGGTTTTAAAAAACGCTTTAGTGTATGCCATAAAATTCGAGGCAGTCCAGCAAGCAACTCGCAGAGACCGACACTCAATCAGAGCTGCTCAAATCCAAGAAAAAGTGTATCAAAGGACTGCTCGTCTAGATCATTTAACCAGGTAAGTCAGTGCTTTAATGCGGAATAAAAGTAACAAGAAACCGACTATAAAGTTTTGGAATTGCAGTGCTGAAGGACACTTACGAAGGGGTTGCAGAATACCTTAAGTTATGAAAGCTGAGACCGCTTCCCAGCAAAGATTCATGAAACAAATTAGTGACAATCTCGCCAAGCGGATTTGCCAGATATTGAAAAGCCCCATTTTAATGCACTTCAGATTTCTGCAATAAGGAGGCACCACTAATGGACTTTTTATCATGGTATATATTAATGGAGTTCCTTGCAATATGACCATCGATATAGGAGCCAATGTTAACATCATCCAAAAAGATCCGGATCAACGACTGAAAATTAAACTCATCCGCCATTCTGTCATCCACATCGCTCCAGTCCGGCACCATTCTAAACGTTGGCGTCTATGCTGTGGAGTCAATGGCAGTCTTTTTAACGGACGCTGTGAGTGCAAGCCACGTTCAACCAATTGACGGGAAATGGTTCTGGTCGACACGGGAACATCTAGGCTATCTTGCACATGCTGCAGAACCGCGGTACAAATGACTTGCGGGACCGCCACAGCTTGTCGGCGGATGCGTCGATCCACGCGTGCTGATGTCACTCTGGCTGCATCTGCACCCATCCTTCTTCCCACATTTCCTTGTTCCAACCATGTTCGCCATAGCCGATGTACCGTGCTCGCATCCATGTGGGTATCAGCTGCGATTTGACGTAAGGACCAACCCGCCCTTCTCAGTCCGATCACCATACCCCTCGTAAAAGTGTCTATCTGCTTTAAAAGCCTTCGTTGACGGCGGCCTGGCATTCCCTTCTATTACACGTATCCACCGGGACAAAAACCAACTTTCTTCGATAATTCGTCTGGCAGAAATAACAACACGAATATTGCCCATTCTGCACGTTCCTTCCCTTATATCTTACTTCACGTGCGTCAGAGAGCTACGCATTTCACATCATTCGCATAACTCAGTGACGTGCGTCTACTCTAAAATTTGCATAAATTTCTGACCACTCCTTCTTGATATTGCATTTTCAATGTCGAGCAGTGTAGTTTCGCACAGCATGCAATTGATTGCATTCACTATTCAAGCAATATTCAAGACGACTACCGATTGCTAAAGAGGAAGAGGTACGAAAACTTCTAAAGTATATGCAAAAAAGCGACGTTATCGAACCTTTAGTAAGTCCTTGAATCGTTCCCAAACATCTTATTCAGAAAGAAAGATGATAAAAATTTGCGCTGATTATCGCCATTTTAACGACATCACGAAGAAGCACAACTATCTCTTTCCCAGATTCGACGACATTCTCGAAACATTTTCTAGAAGTAAGTGGTTTTTGACGTGACAGGAAGAGACCGAGAAAAGACGGTATTTACTACAGCGCAAGGAGTTACGAATTTCAAGGTGATGCTCTTCGGATTATATAATGCGCCATCATTCCAGCATCATGGAGCAACTAGAACGCCTCATGGAGACCGTACTGAGAGGTCTTTCCCACGAATCATTATTAGCGCAAAAGTTTTGAAGAAAAATTTAGAAAATATTAGGAAATGCTTACAGAAGTTGAAGGAAGCCAATCTAAAGTTAAGTCCTCCCAATATATATATATAAAATAAATTGTTCAGAAATTAAGTGATTTACCTTGGACATGTCATCTCTGGCGAAAGCGTGTGTACGGATGCCTAAAACGTATCGACAGTGGAAGATTGGAGACGCCCAGAAAATGTCCAAGAGCTGAGATGCTTCTTGGAACTTTGCACCTACTGCAGGAGAGTTGTTAGTGTATATTCTTCAATCGCAAGACCCCTTCACAAATTGACACAAAGCAAGCAA